ATTTATAAAGCCTTTTTCTTCAAACACTTTTTTCAGGAAAACAGCTTTCTCAAGTCCAGTAGCTGTTATCGCTCTTCCCAGTAGTGATGGGGGGATTTTTTCCTTCAAGTCTTATAGCTGATGTGATGTGGAATGTTAACATCGTGATTATGTCATTATTTTCTCTTTGAGTTACATGTTCTATCCATTTTAATTGTTACTGCTGTTGGTAGTTCTCAAGTGATGTGGTTTCTGTTATTTGGTACAGTTCTTTATTTGAAGTAGTGCAGAACATTGATATCTTGATTATGTCATTATTTTCTCTTTGAGTTACATGTGCTATCCATTTTAGGTGTTGCTGCTGTTGGCAGTTCTCAATTGATGTGTTTTCTGTTATTTGGTTGTTCTTTGTTTGTGATTCTGTTTCGTCAGTCCACAATATCCAAAGATGGATAATCTTTGCCAAGACCCACAGGCTTTACTTGCTCAAATGGTTGTAAGTGTGTGTAAGCCAAGTTTGGATGATAAGCTGACAGAATGGAAATTTGGAACACTACGATTGACATATTTCAATGATCAAATAGTATCGTCAGAAAAAAAAAAATTTCATCAAAATCTTCATTACCAAGATAAAACATGATTCACAATTCACTTAGCGTCCCATTCACACTCCTCCTCTATCATTTTTAATAGGATTAGAAGTTTATCCCTGGTTTTCTGTTTCATATTGTTTTCAGTTCTTTCTAAAGTCTTCTCATTTTCTTTCACTCCCAGTAGCCACTTGTGTGTTAGTATCATTATTACCTTGCTTGGGGTGAATTGATAAAAAAAAAAAAAAAAAGGATCTTTTGATTTTACTTTAAGTGTATCATTTTAGAAATTTAAATGTAACTAACTTCAATTCAGTTTTATTTTTGTTTATTTTATTTTAAAATATTTTTGTTTATTTATTTTGAGGTTTCTATATTCTACATTGTTTCAGTACTAATTTTGTAAGGACAGGTGATAAACTGAATGTGAATTTTTCATTGTGCTCACATTACTACTGGTAGTAGTAATGTGGGCACAATGTCAAATAATGTCAAGGTTGAAATTTAAAATAGGTTTAACTGCAATACCATGGAAAAAATGCTCAAATCCCATTGGCACATCCCCTGTTGGGAGATACCTTAAGTGCTGGGTGATGACCCTAGCCCTATCCTGAAGGAGAGGTAATGCCTGTGGGAATGGCTTGAGCTTAATATTATTTTGAAGCTACCCCAACTGAAGCCACAGAAATATCAACAGAAATAACCTGGTTATGTATTAATCATTGGGAACTTGTAAATCATAGTAGTTTCAACACATCTTCATATGAGTAAATTCCTTTCTTATTGAAATGGCCATTTCTAGATGAAATATATATAACTAGTAAACTGATAGAAGAAATCCGAGTGATAAAAAAAGAAAAGTAATAATGATAAGACTAATAATACTTATTGCATATTAGTAGATCTTTTGACCAAATCCAAGCACAATTAGAAAAGATGTTTAAAGTACTAATATATTCTCAACTGATCACAATAAAATAATAAAACTAATTATATATTATACTAAATTTAATGCAACCAACTTAATCATCCACAATAACTCTGCTCCGTCAACTCGCATTTTGTATATCAGTTTAAATGTCCTTTGGGAGATTGTATATCTGACAAAAAAGTAAGTGCATATGTTGGCTTGACAACAACATTATCAAAATGCCTTACACTTCATTTGTCAGGTACAAGTTTTATTCCACCATATCTAAAAACATGTCTGTCTACCTTCACAATACAGGTAAATACCTGTTGGCAACACCAATATACTACACCATGAAAAATAATAAACAAAAACTTCAAATTCTCATGCCCCCCCTCCCATATCAAAAGCAACCAACCAACACTCAACAAAATTTATTACAAATGTAGCAGAAATGTGTTGAATGCCTTTAAGAAACATTTAATGCTATTTTGCATTTCTACCAATTTCCAGTCAGCTCCCTTATATAGGGATGCTTGTTTTGCCAAAAATTCCATAGCTGCAATGGATAAATTAAAAATTTTAAAATAATTATAACAGAGCGTGTTCATGCGTGTCTTTAAAAATCACCATCACAACGATCATGGTTACAATAAGTTTGTCTTGGTAATTCACCCCTGAAGATGATCTTGGAGGAGATCGAAAGTACTTTGGTAGGAAAAAACTACAGTGGCTTCCTTTATGAATTTCATCTTAACATCAAAATCTGATTAGAGAACTAGAAAGGATTATTATGAAAATAAATAGACATAATATGTCTATATTATTCAATGAAACCTGTTTAAATATATATATATATATATATATACACAAACATATACAAAACAGTCCAGAATAACTTAGTTTGTTGTATTTGGAATAAGTCACTTGCTGGGTTCAAGAGCCATTGTTGTTCTCAAGAGAAATAAAAACATGGATCACCCTTGTTGGTTGTGGTCATATTAATTTAATGAGTCAACAGTCATCATATATATATTGTTGTTGTTGAAAGAAATCATTGCCAATTATTGAGGTAATTGTCGACATATCCTTCTATGTGAAATGAGTCTTATGTTGGATCTGAAGAGACATCTGTAGGCATGGTAGGGTATATAAATATATATAAAAATATCTGTTTAACGTCAAATATGACTTGAAATTGGTTCCATCAAACATGAGAACAACAGAATTATAAAACAGTTGCATAAATACTGAATATTGAAGTAGGTTTAAAAAACACACATAAAAATTTCAGTTTGAACATACATACACAAACACACGCACAGAGGGTGTGTCAAGTAATTGAGAACAAATTATCAGAAAAATAAATATTCAACAGAAAGAATTTATCTCAATGTTGCTGTGGTATGAGGGTGGGCTGAAAAGTTCATAGGCTGACTATGAAGGAATGATGCTAGAGATGTGACATCTTGTATGCATTAATTTCAGCTCTTCTTATTAATAACTACATTTTTTCTTTCCATGTCCGAGGGTGGGCTGAAAAGTTCATAGGCTGACTATGAAGGAGTGATGCTAGAGCTGTGAAATCTTGCATGCATTTATTTCAACTCTTCTTATTAATAACTGCATTGTTCCTGTGCAGGTTCTAGGGTGGGCTGAAAAATTCATAGGCTAACTATGAAGGAGTGACGTTAGAGCTGTGAAATCTTACATGCATTAATTTCAACTCTTCTTATTAATAACTGCATTGTTCCTTTGCAGGTTTTAGGGTGGGCTGAAAAATTCAATAAGAATAAGAAGAGCTGAAATTAATGCATACAAGATGTCACAGGTCTAGCATCTCTCCTTCATAGTCAGCCTATGAACTTTTCAGCCCACCCTCATACCACAGCAACACTGAGATAAATTCTTTCTGCTGAATATTCATTTTTCTTATAATTTGGGAAAATGTATATTGTAACACCCGAGCGCTAATATCCCTTCAAATTTTTCCAAAAAAGTCTTAATTCTGTGCAAATGTATATGCTTTACTCAAATCAACAATTAGATATTAAAGAAAGCTACCTTTTTGGATGTTAACGACCAGAAATAATTGGACTTATTCTCGCTCTTCTTGTCATACTTTACGGCCTTATTGAGAGACATTCACTGCTGAACGATTTCGCGCATTTATACAATTTTGGCCTAATTACTCCCTCAACGAAATTAATACGCGTTTTTTTTTTCTTTTTAATTTAAGTAGGGTTAGGGTTGGGGTTAGGATTTTTTTCCAAGCTTTTAAGTTCCTTTAATTTAAGTAGGGTTAGGGGTAGGATTTTTTTTCCAAGCTTTTAAGTTCCTCTTACAATTGATTTAATTATTGTTTTTTATTTTCAATGTATAATATTAAAAAATGCTTTACTGTCCTACTTATTTTGTTCTTTTTGTTATTTATAATTTATAAGTATTTTCATCGATATTTTCATATATTTGAAAGTTAACTTTCTTCTTTAAAAAGTACACTTATCACTTATTTTCATACATTTGAAAATTACTTCGTTATTCTTTTATTTGTCGATATTTTCATTTGAAAGTTAACTTTCTTCTTAAAAAAACAAGTAAAATCTACACTTGAAAGTTAAAAGTTAACTTTACTTAAATTAAAAAGAAAAAAAAACGCGTATTAATTTCGTTGAGGGAGTAATTAGGCCAAAATTGTATAAATGCGCGAAATCGTTCAGCAGTGAATGTCTCTCAATAAGGCCGTAAAGTATGACAAGAAGAGCGAGAATAAGTCCAATTATTTCTGGTCGTTAACATCCAAAAAGATAGGTTTCTTCAATATCTAATTGTTGATTTGAGTTAAGCATATACATTTGCATGGAATTAAGACTATTTTGGAAAAATTTGAAGGGATATTAGCGCTCGGGTGTTACAATATACATTTACCATAATTTGTTCTCAATTACTTGACACACCCTCTGTGTGTGTGTGCATGTGTATATATATATATATATATATATATATATATATTCAAACTGATGTGTGTGTTTTTAAGCAAACTTCAATATTCAGTATTTATGCAACTGTTTTTTAATACTGTCGTTCTCACGTTTGTTGGAACCAATTTCAAGTCATATTTGACGTCAAACTGAAATTTTTACATATATTTTTCATTTAAGCTATCGTTTTTTGATACACCCTAAAGGATCTTAAAAGTTTCCTACATGCTATGTAACATTACATTAACTTGACTTGTATTGTCCATTATCCATTACACCACCTCCACATCTAAGCATACAAGACCTGGTATTCCCAAGGGGCCACTCATCTTGGTACTGACCCGACATGACATTGCTTTACTTTGATGATTGTACTAGGACCGGTGTTTCATTGTGATATGGTTGTAATCCATTTTATTATTATTCATTGTATGCGTGTGTGTACAAATATAGGCAGGGATTTTGAGGTGCATGCATTTACAAAATGCTTTAAGTTTAAATGATTTTAGCAATTAGTGAAACAGTTTGAAAAGTCCAGGCTTATGGCCATATCATGATGAAACACCAGTTCCCATGTGATCACCAAGGTTAAAAAACATTGAGCCTGATCAGTACCTAGATGGGTGACCACTCTGTATTACCAGTTGTTACTAGCTTGGATGTGCAGGTGGCGTAATGGATAATGGCTCAGAATTGTTAATTGGAGAGCCAAGTTCCAATTCCTGTTGGTTTTGTTATATTCACGTACATATTATTACTAGCAGTAGAGCCCAGTGTTGCCCGGGGATGTAACAGTAAGAGATAGATCAAGTATCGACCATCATAAAGACTGAAAAATAAAATTGACAAAGATTATTGTTTAAGGTTGACGGACACGCATGTCTTAATTAGTTTTTTTTTTTTTTTTTTACAGAATTGGTCAAACCCAAACTCAAAGACATTGTTTTCAATCGTTATGAGTCTACCGATTGAATAGAATTTTATTATAAACAATTGTCTTGTAAATGGAATTTTTAAAGCATTCTGAATGTAAAAATAAAGAAAAAAGTGTGCAAGACAATAAGAAACATTACCTGCCAAAAAAAAGTGAAGTTTTGTTGAAATCGGTTAAAAAATGTAGGAAATCCGATCCCATATATAAAGGAACACACACACACACACACACACACACACACACACAAGCTGGGTTTTAAGTATAACTCGATATGAGTTGTCCCCTTTCATTCTCGTGATGCCTCTTAATCGTGTTTTTCAAATTGATTTTGTGAAAAACAATTGTGTTTTTCCAATTTTTGGTGCTGTCAGAACCACCGCAAGGTAATTTTACGTAGTCCTGTGAAGTTTTGTTGAAATCAGTTGAAAAATGTAGGAAATTTGATCCAATATATAAATGTACAGACACACACATACACACACACACAACCTGGGTTTTATAATAAGTATGATTCACTTGAGAAAAGTATGAATCCACATCTTCTCCCCTCAGCTATGGGTTAATTAGTAAGACTTGTGTCACCCCCTCAAAAAATTCTTACAATCTAAAAAATATTTTCTGGCTGTAAAAGAAAAGAATGTAAATCAATAAATCAATTTAAAAGTACAGCATTATTCCTGGCTGGATTTCTGACATGGCATTTTGTTAAAATTCAACATTTCCTTCAGACCAGTATCCTCATCTTGTTTGTTTTTATCTTAACATTTTAGCTGGCCTTTGTCCCGCATAATTTGCACCAAGTCATCTTTGTGAGATGTTTAATTTCTCCCTTTATTTTCTATGGCAAAGCTATATTGTTCGTGTCTTTTACTGTCCAGCAACTTTCTTCAGCATTTTAACTTGCAATTGTCAGCATTTTCCTCATAATGAAACTTTAATTCTCCCCTACTAAGCTCGTTGACTTACACACTGCCTCACACTGGAATTGAAATTGAGTTCTCTAGGGAAGAAAACAGTAGGAACCAACATTGATACCCATTATAGTCATTCCTGTGAGACACTGGTTATTAGAATTTGAAAGCTTTTAAATCTCGCAGGTCTACGTAACTCTATCTCCTTCAGACTGAGTTTGCAAAACATAATTAAACATATATTAAACTCTTCTTAATAACTGGCTTGACTCTGCATCAGAAATGTACGCTCACTTTGATGGTTAATTATCTGAACCTCTATGTTTCCGCATTTCTATTACTGCTTCCTTATCAATTTCAGCCCTTATAAACACTTATAAACAACAAACATAATAAACATTTATAAACAATAAACATAATAAATACTTATACTTATAAACAATAAACATAATAAACAAAACAAAATAATAAACACTTATAAACAATAAACATAATAAATACTTATAAACAATAAACATAACAAAACAAAATAATAAACACTTATAAACAATAAACATAATAAATACTTATAAATAAATAAACAACAAACATAAACACTTATAAACAACAAACATAATAAACAAAACAAAATAATAAATACTTATAAACAATAAACATAAATACTTATAAACACTTATAAACAATAAACATAATAAACAAAACAAATAATAAACACTTATAAACAATAAAGATAATAAATACTTATAAACTAAACATAATAGACACTTATAAACAATAAAGATAATACTTATAAACATAATAAACACTTATAAACAATAAATAATAAACAAAACAAAATAATAAACACTTATAAACAATAAACATAATAAACACTTATAAACAATAAACATAATAGACTCTTATAAACAATAAACATAATGAACCTAAGAAAAATGTATAAATAACAAACATAATAAACACTTATAAACAATAAACATAATACATACTTATAAACATAATAGACACTTATAAACAATAAATATAATAAACAAAACAAAATAATAAACACTTATAAACAAACATAATAGACACTTATAAACATAATGAACATATGAAAATCGTATAAACAAAGAAACATAATAAACACTTATAAACAATAAACATAACGAACATAAAAACTTATAAACAACAGATATAATAAACACTTATAAACAATAAACATAATAAACACTTATAACCATTATAAACATAAACCTAATAAACATTTTAAACAATAACATTATAAACATTATGAACAATAAACACTTATAAACAGTAAAGTTACAGGTTTCTCAGCTGAATTTTAACCATAAAAGTGATCATAAAAAAAATGTACATATTTTTTTATAATAATCATTTTTTGCATGTCTTTATATTCAGTATATTTACCATGCACTTAATAGTCCTGGGTCTGACGATAAACTACATCCAGCAGCAGGCCTCTGATTGGGAGATTGGAGCTTTTATGGAGCCTGAAACCTCCTCTTAATTGCTGCTGATTCCAGCTCTATCCTGGCCTGGGGTGGCAGCACCTGTTAGGGTCCTAGCTATGGGCAAATAGTGAACCCCAAGACAAAAATAAAAGTATAAAAATGCATTTTTACATTAAAAATACCATCAATTCATTTTTATATTAAAAAATAACAACAATTTTTACATAAAAAATGACCAACAATACATGTTTATTATAAAAATGACCAACAATACATTTTATTGCAAAATGACCACCAATCCATTTTATAGCAAAATGACCAATGATACATTATATAGCAAAATGACCAGCGATACATTTTATAATAAAATGACCAATGATATATTTTATTGCAAAATGACCAACAGGACATTATATCTGTAGTTGAAGCCATACAATTGCATTCAAAATATGTGACTGAATGGTTAATAGCATGACAGGCTATATGTCCGTTCACATAGGGGTTACTGTTTCGATTCCTGTTGGAGAGTGTATATTTTCTACAAAATTTCTTGAATATTCATGCTAATAAATGTAATTAATACTGTTTAATTAAAAACTGAGCATTTAAATAAGTTATATCTATAAAAATAACGAATAAGCAGAAAATATATTAAATAATTGTTGGACTTAATCCATTTCATAATATATATATATATATATATATATATGTAAAGATATTACACCAAAAACATCTCAAAATTACTACACAATTGCTGTTGTGTTCCAATGCATATCAATCCATCTCATCAGGTAATTGTAAATTACTGGCAAGTGAATGATTTATTTAGATTTAAAAGCAAAATACAACCTCTTTTTATGAAAAAAAAAAAGTGGGGTATAAGGTTTGTGATCAACCAATCAAATATGACCAATGTTAAATTTAAACTAAGCGAAGAAACAAAAATTAAAAAATTATTTTTTATAAATGGGTCATGACTTGTAGATTGGCAGCTAACGGCAGCCAGACATAAACAAATACATAAATGGATACATAAATTATACATACTAGATAGTGCCATTACCTAAGAAATAAAAATGTGGCGGAGAGCTAATTTAGCAAAATAAGTTATATACTTTGGGAATTTCCTACATAAAATTGTTTATAGCTGATAAATAAATAACTTCTTTAAGAAACTAGTAAATAATTTAAACTTGGATATATATATATATATATATATATTGTTAAATATAACAGACAACGAATGTCTATTATGTTTTTATATGCTTTGGGAATTTCCTGCATAAAATTGTTTACAGTTGATAAATAAATAGCTTCTTTAAGAAACTAGTAAATAATTTAAACTTGGATGGATATATTATATATATATATATATATATATATATATATATATATATTGTTAAATATAACGGACAACAAATGTCTATTATGCTTGATCATGAGCTGTTCTAAGCTTCATATAGTGGCTTTTCGAGAGGAAAATAAAGATAAAAACTGTCCAACATTTGGATATTTTTTATGCTGTTTCTCAATCTAAGCTTTATATATATATTATATAGATGTAACAATATTTTTACCATTTCACCCCCAAGTAAGGCAATAAAGCCATTAAGACGCAAGAGATTACTGGCTGTGCGAGAATATGTAAAGATAAAAGAACATGAATTGAGAAGACAGAAGATAATGATTAACATTACATTTAAATATTTGAAGATCGTATTTGACAGGAAAACAAGAGAGTCCCATGAATAAGAAGTACAAGCAAAGAAACTCTCAGTATAGAATTAACATCCAACAATTTCAAAAGCAAAATGATGGGATCTCGTTGGCAATCTATTCTTCTTTTTCTTCTTCTACTAAATGTTGCATCCTTTCAGGACATGGGTGCTCATAACTCTCCACAATTTCCTGCCCTTTGTAGCCCTGAGAAAATTTTATCCTTTTGCTTACTCTCCTAATCCCTATTCTACCAACCATTTGTTAGGTATGTTCTGCATTATTTTTCTCTGTCCCTCTTGCCTTCAATATGTCTTGTGTGTGTTAGATTTTCTAAGTCTTTTTCCTCATTATGTACTCTAGAGATTTCAACTGCCCCTTTCTGATTCTAAGTATAAGTGTCATTTTTGTTTCTATTTTTCTCTAAAATTTTGCACAAATGCTCTATGATATTGCATTTTAACCCATAAATATCATATATATTATAATATATATAATATATATATATATATATATATATATATATATATAAATTTGCTTCCAGGTGGGACATTTAATTACAAAGATGATGGAAACAAAAGCAAAAAAGAATTTAAATGGAATTGTCTAGATTATTACACATATTAAAATTT